CAGGCAAATTTTCAGGCTCCTCGATCAGGCCCATGGGTCCCCAAGGGGGCAAATCCACTCCATGCAGTACAACATTACTGGTTTAGCTTAAACTAGGGACATTCTGGTACTTTAGGGTACACCCAAAGACTTTTTCAGGTTTAATGATATTTTCAAAGTTATAATGGAACATTCTCAGCTGTAATTCCATTGTAAGTCAAAGAAATATACGTATATGTGTATAATCAGCAAAATCCTATGTATGATATATGTAATATTATATATTTACTATGTATCATATATATATATACATACCATTACCATATATATGAGTGGAAGAGGGGATTAAAAGATTATTTGGATGATACATATGAAATCCATGATATAAGCGGTAGTCAAAAGGTTTGCAAACCGGTATGCTATGAAAAACTCTATAGGAATTTTAAAGTTCCGGGGCACCAAACTAAACATCATTTTGAAGCGTCCTGGCCATCTGTGTGGCCCGGGAAGTACACGAGGAGGAATGAGCCTAAGAGCTTGGGCCTGCACCCCATGGGAGACCAGGAGAAGCACCTGGCTCCTGCCATTGGATCAGCGCGGTGCGCTGGCCGCAGTGCGCAGGCCACGGCGGCCATTGGAGGGTGAACCAACGGCAAAAGGAAGACCTTTCTCTCTGTCTCTCTCTCTCTCACTGTCCACTCTGCCTGTCAAAAAAAAAAAAAAAATTAAAAAAAATGCATTGACTTTACATCACAGTATTTAAGTATTGCTAATTTTACATCATAATATTTAAGTTATGTGATATCCAGAAGAGTAAACATCACTCAAGGACTTTGCCTCCTCTTCTGAGGAAGAGGTTAGCACATATTCAGGGGTACACAGGATGGCTGTATTATTCTGGACAGATTATGATGTTGCTGTTGTCTTTATTTGCAGATTAAATACCATTTAAGGAGATGTGTCTGGGTGCAAAATTGACAAGGGTGAACTTGTGAGAGTTAATTTTATGTGTCAACTTGGCAAGCAACATGAGGAGCCAGATGAAACACTATTTCTGGGTGAGTGTGTGTGTGTATGGCTGTTTCTTGATGAGATTAGCATTCAAATTGGTGGACTATGTAAAGTAGATCGCCCTCCCTAATATTGCTTGACATCTTCCAATCTATTGAGGGCCTGACAGAACAAAGAGGAGGAAGAAGTTTTTCCTTTCTGACTAATGCCCTCGATTTGAACTGGGAAACTGGTGTATCCTGCCCTTTTACTGGGCTTTACACCATTGATTCCCCTTGGTCTTCAGACTTCAGATTCAGGCTGGAATCTTTCCTGGGTCTTCAGATAGTAGAATGAAGAAACTGGGACCCGGGCCATTTCTTTAGAGAATTCAGACCAATATAATTTCCAATTCAAATTTCCTTTCTGTGAAATTGCTTCTAGTTTCTCCAAAATCTTCAAGGACCTTGCTTTGTATGGTTTCTTGACCCCTTTTGGTCTATGAAGTACATGACAATAAATGCTCTAGTATACTGTGTTTTATGAGAATTATTAAATGTAGAATGTAACAATCTTGAAAGGAAGAGCTTTGCCCATTTCTTCCATTTGTTCATTCATTTATCCACTCAGTCAACACATATCTGCTGAGTGCTTAGTATGTTCTAGGTACACTGAGAGCCAATTCAGCCAATTCCAAACTGCACTCTTTGCTATTACAGGGATTACAGCTTAATTGGGGTGCAGACCAGAATAAACAGCCCTAAAGTAGATGCATAACTATATGCATCAATATTGCTCTGAAGGACAGGTGCTTCAGGGGAGTCCACATAGGGGTCTCACGTAATCTTGGGTGGAAGGACGGTGGGCAGGGCAGAAAAGGCTAATGTGGAAGAAGTCATATTTGAGGTCAGACTGGAAGAATGAGCAGGTTTCCTCTAAATAAGATGGAGAAAAGGAGTGGTGATGAGAGAAGAATAGTCCCAATGGAATGTCTGAGGAGAAAGGCAGATAGGGCCATAACACAATAGGTCTTAAGAGGTAGGTAGGTAGGTGGCTACTAACCATTTTCTTCAGTTTCTCCTCTTCTCGTTTTCTCTTCAGCTGAGCTTCCTTTTCTTCTGCCTCCCGCATCTGACGCTCCTCCTCTTGGGCCTTTAAGAGGGCCTAATGAAGATTAAAATGAAAAAAAATCAGAATCCTGTCTATGGGAATAGGGTCTTTTGTGCTGAGGAAAGTCAAATATCTTCCAATGTATTTATCCTGTCTCTGGAAGAAGTCTGTACTTTGTGATACAGGAGAAAATCTCAACAACATGTGGTCAGTTGTGTAACTTAGAAGTCTCTTCAAAAGGATCTTTCTATCTTTGAGATGATGAGACATCATAAATAAGACCATTAATTTCTCACCATAAAATGATTCCTTTTTGGTTATTTTCACCTATGAAATACTAAGTCCAAATTATAAACCATATAGGGGAGAAAATCCATTTTCTTTCATTTCACCAAAAATATCTCCAAACTGTTGAACTGTATTTTTTTCTGGGTGGGTACAAAATTGACTTCTTATTATTTTTTTATTATTTTTGACAGGCAGAGTGGACAGTGAGAGAGAGAGACAGAGAGAAAGGTCTTCCTTTTGCCATTGGTTCACCCTCCAATGGCCGCCACGGCTGGTACGCTGTGGCTGGTGCACCGTACTGATCCGAAGGCAGGAGCCAGGTGCTTCTCCTGGTCTCCCATGGGGTACAGGGCCCAAGTTCTTGGGTCATCCTCCACTGCCCTCCCTGGCCACAGCAGAGAGCTGGCCTGGAAGAGGGGCAACCGGGACAGAATCCGGTGCCCCGACCGGGACTAGAACCCGGTGTGCCGGCGCCGCAAGGTGGAGGATTAGCCTAGTGAGCCGCGGCGCCGGCTCAAAATTGACTTCTGATAGCTAGGTCAAAACTTTGCAAACTCATTAGGTTGGACACCCACCTATCACACACCAATCTTGTTTATGTGTAAATCTCTTGATTTGCTAGCTCTCATCAACTTTTGTAACATTTCCTCCCTGTTATGCTAATGATGTTAATTTTCCCCCCTCTATTTTGCTAAAATTGCCACAGAATTCAGGCCAGTAGGCCAAAACTCATTTCCAAAGTTGGTCTAACTGGTTTTTCCAGAGGCTTAAACAAGTAAGGTTTCATTTTTTAAGAAAGATCTAGAGAATTCCTTTTTCTTGCCTCAGTTTGCATTCTGAATTTATTACCAATTTCTCCTCTTCTTGCTTTTTCTTCCTCTCTGCCAAGATTCGCCTACATTCAGCTCGTTGAATCGCTCTCTCTTCCATAGCTAGAAAATAGTAACAGAGTTCCAATATAAGAGGTATGAGGAATACTGCCGAAGAAATGTCTTTATTTCATAATAAAATTTAGTGTTATTGTTAGGGTTTTCTTGTAAAACTAGTGTTCACAATGTTGGAATACAAATGGATAGCGATATAAAGAATTTATAAGCACTTTACAGATTAAAAGACCTAGATTTCCATACTTAGCAATGATGAACAATTTGTAGATTAATTATGTTTTGATTATATTTTTATGAGAATACTGTTTACTATTCTAAGTAAGATAATGGCATTGATGATAGACTTTTAGTATATGAAGTATTGAAATGAGAATTTTGATTATATCTTAATGAATGTAGAAAACTTTTTAATCTAACAAATACTTGAACAAAGTCATTCCTCAAATCTCATTAAATCAATCTGCTAATTTTTCTTAACTCACTATACATATGTCTGTATATGTACAACAACAACAAACAAACTAAAGTTTGAGGTCACGATGAATTTATTTTAATCTAGTTTTAAGGCCCAGATATCCAGATGGGCAGGAAATGGAATTTTACCAGGCATTTGGAGAACTGGCATCTGAATGAATTTGAGTGTCAGACTCTTGTTCTTGACAGTCTATTAAATATCGATCCAAAAGAAACAAATGTGCAAGATGGTCTGATAATATGACTCTGTAATCAGTTGGGCCTCTTGGAAGAAGAAGGGCAGGGGGTGGGAGGAGTATCAAGTTCTGCTCACTTAAGCCAGCCAATAGTTACTTCCAGTTCCTTGTGCCATGTTATAGAGAGGAGAATTTAAGTCCAAGTTTTAAGAATTAATAAACAAAAAACTTAACAGGCTATTTCTTACAACTATTAAGTGTCTGCTTTGCTGCAGAAGAACAGTGGTGGAGCCAGAGATGGCGGGAGGGAGATTGCCTTTAAGAGGGTGGAAATAGACTCGAGGATTAAAGTGAGAGAGCCCTAAGAAGCCAAGTCTCTGGTAATATGTCCTTCCCCCATCTTTTCTAGATTTAATCATTAAAGACTACTTGAAAAGCAGACTGGGATTTTAAAATAGTTAACTCCCTGATCAAACAATAATTTTACAAAATCTGTCACATCAAAATGGGCACTTCTGATCCTCCTTAGTGGTGGACACAGATGACATTAACTTCTGTCCTGGCAGACAGTTGATGCAAAGACTGTAAATTTTTGCATTAATAGGAATTGACTGCAGCCACATTGTCCTTTAGGTGTCATCACGTTTTGTTCGGGCAGTAATCTTACCATAGGAAAAAATCAAATTTACAAACACCAACATAACTGTCAATGTGTCAACCACTATATAAAAACATACATACAGTGTGTGACTAAGTATATAGTAAAAGCCATTAATAGATTCATTAGGGGGTTTCTCACAGTATTGTTTAGTTTAAATAAAGGTTTCTATGTGCATCAAAAATGTTATCAAATTAAAATAACCTGATTTGTAGAATTCATTGCTAAAATTCTATCAAGGCATAACTCATTATAAAACAATATAATAACATGATATGGATTGTTGTAAATTAATCAATATTTTAATATGAATGAAGTACCAAAACAGGTGATCTTTAGCAGCACTTATTAGCCCTAACAGCTACTCATAGAGTTTTCTCATTTGTGTGACTGTCCCATTTTTTTTTTCCACAACTGAACATTCAAAGTACAGAAATACAATTCATCTTCCAGAAATGTGTCTGTTGTTATTGTTGTTGGCTGGAAAGGCCAGAAAAGGTTGACACACGGGGTGTGAGGCAGTAGTGGAATTTCCCTGCGCATCCCTCTCCCCTCACGCCCATCCATCTTAGACTGAACCAGGTACTGCCACGTGTCAAACCTAAGAGTCGGCAGGGTTCATTCTGGCCATACTCTGCTCTAGGAGGCAAGTTAACCACCACCAGGCTACCGTCAAGACAGCCCTGCCTTTCAGGATGGGATGCGGTGCCACCGGCTGTTTCAGCTTCTTTCTGGGTCCAGAAAGAGAATTTTGGGAATCACTTCTTCCGCCTTTAGTCACAGGGGAAGCCGCAGATGAACTGAGGGGGAGAAAAAAGAAAATAAGTCAGACTAATAACCAGTTTCCTTCGAAGCTCTTTCATCCGAGGAACTCAAAGCATTTCACAAGCTTTAATCCTTACTCTCTGAGATAAATATGTATTATTACACCCACTCTATAAACTGGTGTAGTAAGGTAAGAGAAGGTTGGGGAGTCTACAATGTGAGTCACACATTTCGACTCCATCCTTGTGTTTCAAACCAAAAGGTATCACCATGGCTTATCCTGCCACTCATTACATGTAGTAAAACCAACTTAACTGGATTTTGAGAATTCGGATTCTTATTCTAGGCTCAAACAACTACAAATTTATGTGAAGTAATTAGGGGTGGGTGTTTGGGATAATGACATCCCATATTAAGAGACCTGGGCTCGACTCTGTTCATTTCAGAATTCCAACTTCCTGTACATCCTAATAGGCAGTGGGTATTGCTCTTCTAGTTGTATCCCTGTCACCCACATGGGAAACCTGGATTAAGTTTCTGGCTCCCAGTTTGAGCCCAGTACAATCTCAGCTATTGTGTGGGCATTTGGGGAAGAAACCAGAGAATGGGAGTTCTAGAAGAATCAAATAAATAAAAGGGAAAACAGAACAGAAAGCGGGATATGGGGGAGAGAAAATAAAATAAAAGTTATTCTAAGTAATTAACTAGGCCAGGGACTGCTCCCTGTGGACTTGATGTTGTCTGACCTGGCTTCTCCACACTGTGCACAATCAGAAACCTAGAATCCAAGTGAGACGCAGTAAGTATTTTCCTCTCTTACTGATATAGTGACAGAGCTCCTACACAGAAGGCAGCCATGATATGATAGAACTGGTAACTGTATAACTTGGATTCTCATGGGTAGCCAAGCTGCCTTGAATATCTGTATCTTCCATGTACCAGTCACAATACATGGAGCTTCTTTGAAGAGTGCACTATAATTTAGAAAGCGGAAGATCACAGAGTTTAGAAGCAAGATAAAGAAGTACAGGAGCTTCTCTACCTAAAAGTAAAAAACCCCATAAAATGAGTCCAGCGAGTGCTCTGAGACAAAGGCTATACCTCAGAAGCTTCTGGCAGGTTCCTTTCGGTTCCACCTGTCCTCTGGGATTTGGCAGCAGGCGGCTCTGTGCACCTGTGCCAGCTGCAGCCCGCTCTGCTGCCCACCGAGCCTCTGCTAGCCGCTGGGTTTCCTTCAGCTTGAGAATTGTTTTCTGCTGTTCCTGAAGCTTCTTCTTTTGCTCCTTAATCAGCTGCTGTTGGAAGACATGGCGGTTATGGAAATGACCCATGCATGTGGGTTCTGCTTCCTGACTGGTTCCATGCTTCCCAGTGGCAGGCTGTTGGGAGGGTTCAGTGTCCAGGGTCATGTGCTGCTTGTTGTCAGTTGTATTCTGAGGCACATCCTGAAGGGGATCCTGCAAATGACCCTTTGTTCTTCCTTGAAGAGGGCCGGGCATACAACCATCGCTCTCCATGGGAGGCTTTTTCCATAAAGGGGGCATGGCTGTCACCTGAGGGAGAAGGAACACAACATTGTTCAGTTATGTGAAGGACTGTGCCACTAAGATCCAACACGTGTCCAGTCGGCACTGTTTTGTTCAATGGTACAACTGTCTAGCACTCCAACTATTGCCCTGTTTTCCTGGCCTGGCCATCTTGGCTCTGTGAGCTACTCTCAGAGTACATACTGCTTTCACCATAAAACTGAGTGAAAGAGAGGCTACAGCAGTGTGAAGCATGCCATAGGTCAGAACAACTGCAAAAGGAAACATTTTCCTTTTATAAATGTCTAGTTTGGATGGTTGATTTATGAATTAGGCAAGATTCTCCAGATAGATACTGCAGGAAATTTAATGTACATGAACTGACGATGAATTTTGCAGAAATTTGAAAATTTTTTAACAAATGATATATTCTTTCTCAAGAGGTCTGAAAATTTAAGAATACCTTTTATAAATAAATAAATAATAGTTCTGTTCTTTCAATGCCTCTTCTTTCACTAGCATATTAATCATTTTCCCATGGCACAGGGTATTCATTTCCACATCAAAGCTGGCTTAACATTCTCTAGCTATGAATTATTTTTGGGAAACATGTGGAAGTTCAGGATTACTGAGTAAATACCTGAATTACATAAGAATAATATTACTGGAACTGGCACTGTGGCATAGCAGGTAAAGCTGCCGCTTGCAGTGCCGGTATCCCATATGGGTGCCAGGTAAAGTCCTGGCTGCCCTACTTCCAATCCAGCTCTCTGCTAATGTGCCTGCTTGGGAAAGTGGCAGAAGAAGGCCTAGGTCCTTGGGCACCTGCACCCACGTGGGAGACCAGGAAGAAGCTCCTGGCTCCTGACTTTGGATTAGCCCAGCTCTGGCTGTTGTGGTCATCTGTGGAGTGAACCGGAATATGGACGATCTCTCCCTCTCTCTTCTCTCTCCCCATCTCTCCCTTTCTCTCTCTGTGTAACTTACAAATAAATAAATAAGTATTTTTAAAATAAAGAATATTACCTAATAATATTTTGTATTAGCATATGACTTAATAGTTTTCAAAACTTCATCACATAAAGTTCATTCAACAGACTGTGGTATCATAAGATATCAATTACAAGTTCTATATAGAAGACAAGGAAATGCAAATTCTTAACCAGAAAAACTGATCTTGGCCAAAATAATGTCAAGTTAAAATGCCTCTTCTAGAATGGTTTGAGCCCATGGTCTGAGACCTGACTAGTTTTTGATTCTGCATCTGCAGTGGTGTAAAGAGAAAAATTCTACGAGATATCTAATATCAGCAGCTCATAGCTCTAGCAAGGTGCCAATCTCAGATACTAAAAAATCTTTTTCAGGATGATGGAAGTACTTTCTATAAACTCAGCTGAAGTGAAACTTGTGATATATGAAAAATCTGACATGTTAAAAGACCTTTAAAAAGAACCTTTTATTTCAGAAATGTCAGGGGACATTTATTCATAAGAACACCTTGCTTGAATAATTTAGCATCAAGCAGGGTATATGTTTTAGGCTGTTTTAAACTTTGTGGTAATGACATGTTATTAACCCAGCAAGATTGTGTAAAAGCCTTGAGAACAAGAACAAGATTTCTTTGGGGACATGGTAACATTTTAAGGTGAAATTACGAGAATGAAAGAAAAGCTTAAGGGTACAGCTTGTACTTAATAAAACAGAAGTGAACAGTCTGGCTTAATCAGAGAAAATCATCTATTAGCTAACTGATAATTTTGAAAAATTTCGAAGTATAATATGTGTATTCTTGGTACGTGAGTTCCCATGACTGCATAATTATTGAGCCCCTAACTAAAGATTTTATTTTTCATTTGTTCATGTTTTACTCTGCACTCTGTAAAAAATGATTATTTTGTAGCCTTCAGAGCCTATTATTATAGCCCTCTATTTTCATTTGCTCTAGCTGGTTTTTTTACAATATTAACATTTCTTGATGAAATCTTTACTTCTTGATTTTAGAAATTTAGAGGCTTTTTTCCTTGAATTTATATATATGTATGTATTGCACAGACAAAAAAAAAATTTCTTGTTTTTCATTTCAAGATAATAACAATGGAACCTGGCAAGGGAAAAGTTTCCATACAGCTATTTCTTGAGATATAAGTCTCTCCTGGTTCTCAGTGGAGACAAAACTATCTAATTGATGTACAGTAGATAAATTGCCCAGGGGAAGGGACAAAATGTTCCACATGTCCCAATAAGCATCCTTATTATTCCCTTTTGCTGAGACTAAGCTTCAAATAAAACCAGCCTACATGTTAGCAGTAATCAGGATAAAAAGCAAGGCTGGGACCCTCCCGCGCCCAATTTAATGTGATGTGTCTGAGTTAAATATTGAACGGCATTATGAGGAACGTGGAGGTGAGGGGACAGAAGATCTTCTACAAAAGGCTTTCTACACATGATAGGTGCAATGATGAAAGAAAAAACCGACAGCAATGACTTTATGAAAGTGTTTGTATAGTACCACACACTAAAACTAAGCCAGAAAAACAACTGACACAGTGGAAAAATCATTGCAATATATAATAATAAATGTATTGATAATTTAAAAATACAGAGCTCTTATGAAAAAATGTTTTAAAAATGGATAAAGGGCATGAAGAAACAAATCACTACTATGAGGATACTTCAAAAGTTAATAGAAAAATAGAATATATGTTTTTGATTTTGGTGCAAAAAGTAATAAACCATGCATTAAAGAAGTCTTCAAAAACATGGTGGAAATATGTATTATCAAAAGACTATGCATGGATTTCAAAATTTTGGCACCAAACTAAGAAGCTTTTGGGGTTGGCATGTTGTCACACTAGGTAAGCCTCTACCTGTGGCACCAACATCCCATATAGGTGCTGTTTTGTGTCCTGGGTGCTCCTCTTCTGATCCAGCTGTCTGCTAATGGCCTGGGAAAGCAGTGGAAGATGGCCCAAGTCATTGGGCCCCCGCACCCTGTGGAAAACCCACAAGGTGGTCCTCGCTCCTGGCTTCAGATCGGCCCAGCTCTGGCCATTGTCGTCATTTGTGGAGTGAACCAGTGATGAAAGACTTCTCTGTCTCTCCCTCTCTCTGCCTGTAATTCTGCCTCTCAAATAAATAAATAAACAAATCTTTAAAAAAAAAATATTTTAAGTCCCTTTCTCCATGAACTATTCTTTGAGATTTAAGAACCAATCTTATTTATTTATTATTCTTAAACCTTATTTTTGACTGGACTCAGATTTTGAAGTACACGCTCAGAAAAGACAGCCTAGACGAGTCTAGACAGTCTCTTGACTATCTGTTCCTGGAGTTTTTCTATGGCCTCCTTCATTCGCTTGGTGAAAAGTTTAGAATATTTTGCAGTCTCTTCCTTCTTTTTTTCCCCACAAAACTTTTATTTAAGGTATACAAACGTCATACATTTTGTAAATACAACTCCAGGAACACAGTGATTCTTCCCACCACACCCATCCTTTCCTCTGTACTCCTACACTTCTTCTGCCTCCTTCTCATATTCCCATTCTTATTTTTTTTACTAAGATCTATTTTCAATTAATTTTATGCAATAAGATTACCTCTGTATTAAGTAAAGTTCAACAAACTTCATGAGGAAAAAACTGTTCCTCAACAGTCAAGACAAGAGGTATTCAAAGTGATCTCAAAGTGTCAATCACATTTCTATATATTACCTTTTAGGTGCTCTATTAGTTACTACAGATCAGGGAGAACATATGGTATTTGTCCTTTTGGAACTAGCTTATTTCACGAAGTATGATGTTTTCCAGTTTCATCCATTTTATGCAAACAACAGAATTTCATTTTTTTACCATCGTATACTAATCCATGGTGTACATATCCCATAATTTTTTTTTTTTGACAGGCAGAGTGGACAGTGAGAGAGAGAGACAGAGAGAAAGGTCTTCCTTTTGCCGTTGGTTCACCCTCCAATGGCCGCCGCGGCCGGAGCGCTGCGGCCGGTGCACCGCACTGATCCGATGGCAGGAGCCAGGAGCCAAGTGCTTTTCCTGGTCTCCCATGGGGTGCAGGGCCCAAGCACTTGGGCCATCCTCCACTGCACTCCCGGGCCACAGCAGAGAGCTGGCCTGGAAGAGGGGCAACCGGGACAGAATCCGGCACCCCGACCGGGACTAGAACCCGGTGTGCCGGCGCCGCTAGGCGGAGGATTAGCCTAGTGAGCCGCGGCGCCGGCCACATATCCCATAATTTTTTTATCCAGTCTTCACTTGATGGACATTTGGGTTGGGTCCATATCTTAGCTATCGTGAACTGAGCTGCAATAAACATGGAGGTACAGATAACTCCTTCATATGGTGATTTCATTTCCCTTGGGTGAATTCCCAAGAGTGGGATGGCTGGGTCATATGACAGGTCTATATTCAGATTTCTTTTCTTTTCTTTTCTTTTTCTTTTTTTTTTTTTTTTTACAGGCAGAGTGGACAGTGAGAGAGAGAGAGAAAGGTCTTCCTTTGCCATTGGTTCACCCTCCAATGGTCGCTGCGGCCGGCGCACTGCGGCCGGCGCACTGTGCTGATCCGATGGCAGGAGCCAGGTACTTCTCCTGGTCTCCCATGGGGTGCAGGGCCCAAGCACTTGGGTCATCCTCCACTGCACTCCCGGGCCACAGCAGAGAGCTGGCCTGGAAGAGGGGCAACCGGGACAGAATCCGGCGCCCCGACCGGGACTAGAACCCGGTGTGCCGGCGCCACAAGGTGGAGGATTAGCCTAGTGAGCCACAGCACCGGCCCTATATTCAGATTTCTGAGGTATCTCCATACTGTCTCCCACAGTGGCTGTACCAGTTTATGTTCCCTAATCCACCCAGACTGGATTAAGGTTCCTTTTCCCCAACATCCTCACCAGCATTTGTTGTTTGTTGATTTCTGTAAGAAAGCCATTCTGATGGGAGTAAGGTGAAACCTCATTGTGGTTTTGATTAACATTTCCCTGAGGGCTAGTGTTCCTGGGTATTTTTTCATGTGTCTGTTGGCCATTTGGATTTCCTCTTTTGAAAAAATGCCTATTTAAGTCTTCTGCCCACTTCTTAACTGGGTTGTTCATTGTGTTGCTGAGTTTTGTGAGCTCTTCATATATTCTGGTTACTAATCCTCTGTCAGTTGCATAGTTTGTAAATAATTTCTCCCATTCTGTTGGTTGCCTCTTCACTTTGCTAAGGATATGTTTTGCAGTACAGAATCTTCTCTATTTGATGTTATCCTACTTGTCAATTTTGGCTTTGATTGCCTGTATCTTTGGTGTCTTTTCTAGGAACTCTTTGCCAGTGCCAATGTCTTACAGGGTTTCCCCACTGTTCTTTAATAATTTGATAGTATCGGGTCATAAACTTAGGTTGTCAATTCATTTTGAGTGGATTTTTGTGTAAGGTGTAAGGTAGGGGTCTTGCTTCCTACTTCTGCATGTGGAGATCCAGTTTCCCCAGCATAATTTTTGAAGAAACTGTCCTTTATTTGAAAGTCAGAGTCACACAGAGAGAGAAGAGGTAGAGAGAGAGAGAGAGAGAGAGAGAGAGAGAGAGAGAGGTCTTCCATCCAATGGTTCACTCTCCAACTGGCCGCAACAGCCGGAACTGCGCCAATCCAAAGCCAGGAGCCAGAAGCTTCTTCCAGGTCTCCCACACAGGTGCAGGGGCCCAAGGACTTGGGCCATCCCCCACCACTTTCCCAGGCCATAGCAGAGAGCTGGATCAGAAGAGGAGCAGCTAGAACTAGAACCGGCGCCCAAATGGGATGTTGGTGCTTCAGGCCAGGGCATTAACCCGCTGAGCCACAGCACCAGTCCCTCTCCCTAACTCTTCCCTGAGACTATATGCTCTCCACTTTTTAAAAACTATCTTCTCCTGGGCTAGAGCAGTAAGCTCCCTCCTTACTCTGCCATCTTGGAACCACATCCTTGATTTCTCTTTACAATCTCAATTTCATTTAAAAAATTTGCATTCATTTCATGTATGGATTTATTTAATTCATGGATTTGCTTATGATTACTTAAGTAATCCTATGATCAATTTTTTTAATTCTGTTTTTGGCATTTTGTCCATCTCTGCATCTTCACATTCCAGTATCGAAATTTTGTGTTCTTTTAGGGGTGTCATGTTGTCTTCCTTATTCTTGTTTTTTGAATTGATGCATTTATCTTTAGGCATTTGTGGAGATACTTTTTTTTCCCCCTGTGATGGCTTTTATCTTTGGACTATGCCTCTGTGAATTAGTGGAATGCTCTTTCAGTGAAAGAGGTATAAGGTAGGGGTCTAGATGTGTGTGCTGGGTGTGGCCAGGGAACTCTGTTCAGCGCTCCAGGTTGAGGAGAGTATCCAAGATGATACCCAAGTTGGACATGGTAAATCTCTCTCTCTCTCTCTCTCTCTCTCTCTTTTTTTTTTTTTTAATAGAGGGCAGGTTTGATCAGCTCTGTTGGTGGAGTTTCACACTCACCTCCTCTCCTCAAAGGAGATCAGTGCCTGGGTGTTAGCCCCAGTGGGTACAGTATTCATCCAGGCTGTGAGAAGAAGCACACAGAAGATCCATGCAGTCCTTGGTCTGAGCATGGATCCTGTAGCAGGACCCTCACTAGGGAATCAGGGCACCCTGAGTGTGTTGAGCCACCTACTCTGACTTCCCAAAGATCCAGCTACACCCTGAGCCCTCCCATGCAGCCATAGTGTTTCCACAGTCCCAGAACACAAGGCTCCCACAGTCATGAGCATCCAGCCCCATCAATCCTCCTAGCCAGATTCAGGCATCTCCTCTTGGCTGGTTACTGGGTGAGCAGACACAAACTGATGCAGCGGTTACATATGTCCAAACTGGTACCTGCCCTCTCTCAGCTAGCTACAAAGACACCAGTGCTGGGTGGTCAGAGAGAGAGAAACATGCCCCCTTTTTCTCTAGGTTGGCAGGTATACTGTGCCCTCAGGAATCCAAGCTGGACTCACACCAGGCTCTTCCTGCAGCTTTATTGCCAGTGGCTTGGGCTGCTACACTCTGGTCTCGCCTCACTCTCCAAAGCTGGTATGGAGGCTCTCAGCTGCTGGGATCCTGAGTTGTGCACATCCACCCTCTCCATGTAGATCCACAGTGTCCCTCTAATTTGCATGGAGTTTCCTCTACAGTTTCTTTCCTAACTCTTCCCTGAGAATGGACTCTCTCCACCTTTATAAAATTATCTTCCCCTAGATTAGAACAGTAAGCTTTCTCCATATTCCATCATCTTGGAATTTTCCCTTATTCTTCTTAGTACACTGTTTCTTCAGAGCAATAGCTCGGCACCAGTGTTGCGGGACACCTGGAGTAATAAGATACTGACTCTTAGGCGCTTTGGTCCAAGTTTCTTATCCTCTTTGTTTAAGGACTTTCCTAGAACATACTGGCATACATCATCGTCTTTAGAGAGACTGAAAAGTTTGTGGATTTTCTGGCTCTTTTAGGCGCTAGATGAGGAGGTACCACGATATCAGTCAACCAAGGAATCTCTCTCTCTCTCTCTCTCTCTTTTTTTTTAAAGAATAACCAAATTGAGAACACTCAAATTGTGATTGACAATGAAGTCCCAAATTTGTGCTTTCTCCCATTCTTCTTGAATACCCCTTACTCAGCAGGAAGTAGACATAGCCTTGGTTCAAGACACCTTGCTTCACGGGAAAACCTGGTCTGTCATTCCTGCATTGATTTGGACCACATAATCCTCTCCTTCTTCACCCAGAGCATTGGCAGCAACTTCTGTTGCCATGTGCTTCTCATAAAAACACGAAGTCTACATTCACCCTCCACTTCAATGAGGTTCTGGTGGCCAGTGGCTGGGAAGGAGATACTCAAATTTATTTTTCTCTCTGTGAACTTTCTGAAGTATCCTGGTATCTTTCTCAATCTTTCTATACAGATATTTGTATTTATATATGTATCTCTCTATATATATATATCCATATCCGATCTAAACACTGTTTACCTCACTAGCAATCAAAGAAACACAAATGTTGGAAAAGTAATAAGATGGAAATAGAACATGCATTTTATTTTTAGTTATTTATCCTAAGTGAGGCATCATGGATGTGCACAAAGATTTAGCTATTAGGATTTTCACTGAAGTGTTGTTTATAATAGTGACATATTAGAGAAAAATTCCAATAGTAGAGGAGTTAAACAGATTCTGGCTTATGGTTCATGACAGAATATCCTACAGCCATTACAAAATGATGGTGTAGAATGGTAGTCCTTAACAAGTGATATTTATCAAATTTATTTTTGGAACCTAAAAAAAAATACAAGTGTCCTATACCCAGAAATTCCAATTTAGTAGGTCTGATTCTGTGGCATAGTTTCAGTTGCAGAAGTTGCAAAGGCTACTGTTGTTGAAGCATATGTAGTAACACAGAAAGTTCTCATTTTGTTAAAATGTAGAAACATATATTTTAGAAAATCACAATTATATTAGTATTAAGAAGAAAAAATGGGCCCTCCATTTCCTGAATTACAGCAGACTAGATTTCCCCAGTAACATAATTGAAGAAAATTTAAAAGTAAAATAAATACTTTCTCTCTGTCTCTCTCTCACTGTCCACTCTGCCTGTCAAAAAAATTTTTAAAAAGTAAAATAAATACTGAAAGAGACAAATTTGCATATGCCCAAATAGAGGAAAGACTAAATGGACATAATTAAACATATTATTAGTATTTATTTCTAGATGATGGAATTAAAGGCTTTTACTTTTTCTCTGTGATTTTACTCAAGCCAAACTGCTACAATTAGTAATGTGGCATTTCTTATTAGAAGAATTAAAATTAAAACATCCCTCTTTTTTAAGTTACCTGTTCATTTAGAAAGGACATGTCTGAAGATCAAATAAAAAAGAGTTCAACAATTGTAAACAGTGCTTTATCTTTCTGCTCCTAATGGTGCCTTTCACTTGGTTGTTTTAAATTCTTTCTCTATATTATGTCCCTAACAATTTCCAATTATACCAAAGTTTATATGTGATTATACAAAGAAAATTCAGTTCAAGAAAATAAATACTATAAAAGGTAACCTTTGTGCACTGTTGCAGCTCCAATCTTTTGATAGCCTAGCAAAGCAATCATCATGACCCATGGCTAATATACCCCAGGTTACAAAAGTACAAAGTTCAGATGAAAGACGTTAATGAGCCAGAAGTCCAAACAAAGGAAAAACAACACACCTCTCCTTTTCTTACTTGCGGATCCATCTTGGCTGTTGTCTCCTCAAGTGGACTGATTCCTGAGGCCCCACTGGCACTCAGTTTCCCTAGTAATGCTGCATTCAGCAGCTCATCCATTTTCTTCCTAGTTTCCTCCTTTGCCAGAGCCAGCTCTCTCTTTAGGAACTCTGCACCATGCCAACGCTGCCATTCTGTAAAGCAGTGTCGAAGAACTTGTTTCCGGTTATACTCAGTGGCCAGTTGTTGTTTTCTAAGCAAGAAACAACTCCCGTTAAAGAAGTCATTTACAGTTTACTAACTGATATGAATGAAACCCAACTGCAGAGGAGTCCCAGAAAGGCTGCATCTAGCTTGAGTGTATGCTTTTATATTAAGTTACATGGAACCAGGTTATAAATTCCCCAGAGCAAAGGGTCTCCTCGTAGAAGTTGCTGGTACCTCAAGACATCACCTTCAAGATGAGAGTCACTGTTCTGTTCTATTGTGTTACAAAGACATATTCATTTTTTATTACCATAAAATACCTTCTTATAGCTTTTGGAGTGGAAGGAGCAAAAAGAATTTGTACTAAAATGACTAAAAATATGAATACATAAGGGAAAGATAGAGAGGGAGAGACAGAGAGACAGAGACTCTGTTATGTGTGGAAATCTAAGACTGAGATTTGGGGAGAAAGGGAAAGGAACAAAAAAACCCTATTACTTAAAAAGTGAATTGTCGCCGGTGCTGCAGCTCAATAGGCTAATCCTCCGCCTGCGGTGCCAGCACACCGGGTTCTAGTCCCGGGCGGGGCGCCGGATTCTGTCCCGGTTGCCCCTCTTCCAGGCCAGCTCTCTGCTGTGGCCAGGGAGTGCAGTGGAGGATGGCCCAAGAACTTGGGCCCCGCACTCGCATGGGAGACCAGGAGAAGCACCTGGCTCCTAGCTTCGGAAGCAGCAGTGTGCTGGCCGCAGCACACCGGCCGCGGTGGCCATTGGAGGGTGAACCAACAGTAAAAGAAGACCTTTCTCTCTGTCTCTCTCACTGTCCACTCTGCCTATCAAAAAAAAAAAAAAAAGAATTGTCAAAAATTATATATGAGACCTGTAAAGTCAAGTGAAACTATGAAGGTGTATCTTGTAAAGAAGGACTTCATCCTTGAAACAATGGGTAAAGAAAATGACTCACTGACAAAAAAATACCTGAAGAGAGTGAATGGCTGCCTTGAGGAGATACTTGCTACAAACTGAAAATCATAAGAGGCAAAGGCAACACACTTGCTCTCCTGGAACTCATTCATCATCTAACCTTTCCTCAGCAAGAGCTCCCTTTGATTCTTAGAAACTGTACAAATGCTAGGGAATAACACCCTCCACTTAGTGCAGGTGGGACGTGGTGTCCCTGCCAGCCACATTCGCTTTGCAATGGGAATCTCCATTAGGACACAACTTGGTGGCAGTCAATTGAGAATGCAAGCTCTGACATCTATCTATAAGTGGATGATTATTATTTCAGAAGATATGAGCTATGAGCTAGGAACTTATATGTGGCATCAGGTGTCGCTCCCCCTCTTCATGGAGGAACGACACTAAACCCTGCCTAGGCTTCATATCCGAGTCACGGCACCATTATGTCGCTCCCCCTCTTCGTGGAGGAACGACACAGGACCCTGCGCTGTTCTTTCGTCTGCTCAGCCCTCCCCGGGTTTGCTGCTGGTTCTTCCCGGGTTGGCTACTATCCCTTCCACCTCCGTGGAAGGGCAGTTCCCCCTGGCCACATTCCCCACTTCCGCAGGGGAGCGGCACACCGCCGGCCGGCTCTCTGGGGGGCTGCACAGGTGTTCCCCTTAGGTGTTCCCCTTAGATGTTCCTGGTGCATGCCGTCTCTCTCCTCCTTTATAGTCCTCCTCTGCCAATCCCAACTCGGCTGCCCACACGCGGAGTACGCTGCTCTCCAATCAGGAGCAAGTCCTACAGTTTATTGGTTGAACTGGAGGCAGCTGTGCGGAAGCTGTTTACTTCTCTCCCAGCGCCATATTGTGGGAGAGCAGATGCATAGAATAAGTCTTAATTCCAGTAACTCAGTCCAGTCCGGGCTGCTCCCCACAATCAGGAATCTGTTTTGAAGTTTAAAATCTAACATTCCGGGTGGGCATTTGGTATTGTGGTTATTAACAAGCTGCTTGGAATGCACACAACCTTTACTGAAGTTCCTGGATTCAAGTCCCAGCTCTGTTCCCAGTTCCAGCTTCCTGCTAATGCACACCCTGGGAGGTAGTAGGTACTGGGTCCTTGCCATTCACCTGGGCTACCCAGACTGAGTTCTTGGCTCCTAGCATTTGGCCCCTGCTAGCCTTGACTATTGTAGGTATTTTGGGAATAAATCAGCAGAAGGGAGTGAAAGGCTTCTCTGCCTTTCTTTTTTTTTTTTTTTTTTTTTTTATTTTTGACAGGCAGAGTGGACAGTGAGAGAGAGAGACAGAGAGAAAGGTCTTCCTTTGCCGTTCGTTCACCCTCCAATGGCCGCCGCGGTAGGCGCGCTGCGGCCGGCGCACCGCGCTGATCCGATGGCAGGAGCCAGGAGCCAGGTGCTTTTCCTGGTCTCCCATGGGGTGCAGGGCCCAAGCACCTGGGCCATCCTCCACTGCACTCCCTGGCCACAGCAGAGGGCTGGCCTGGAAGAGGGGCAACCGGGACAGAATCCGGCGCCCCGACCGGGACTAGAACCCGGTGTGCCGGCGCCGCTAGGCGGAGGATTAGCCTAGTGAGCCGCGGCGCCGGCCGCTTCTCTGCCTTTCTAAGTAAATAAATTAAAAACAATTTCTCAAGTCTAACATTGTTTAAACACATACTTGATTTTATCTTATTAAGGTGATCCATAAATGTTCTGGATAACATTTTGCATATCCATTTCTGTTAAACACATGTATCTCTCCTCATGGACTATTTGAGGTCCTATCAAGAAAATCACAGAGTTCTTAAGTTAGTGAGTCAGGAGAACATCTGTATGGTTCTTTTTTTTTAAAAGATTTATTTATTTTTTATTTATTTGAAAGACAGAGTTACAGAGAGAGGTGGAGACAGAGAGAAAGGTCTTCCATCTGCTGGTTCACTCCCCAGATGGCCGCAATGGCCGGAGCTCTGCCGATCCCAAGCCAGGAGCCTCCTCCAGGTCTCCCATGCAGGTGCAGGGGTCCAAGGACTTGGGCCATCTTCCACTGCTATTCTAGGCATAAGAGAGAGCTGGATCGGAAGAGGAGCAACTGGGACTAGAACCAGTGCCCATATGGGATGCCGGTGCCTTAGGCAGTGGCTTTAACCTGCTGAGCCACAGTGCCAGCCCCTGTATGGTTCTTCAAAGCTTAGTTGAGAGGCTGGCACTGAGGCTTAGTGGGTTAAGCTGCCACCTGCAGTGTCGGCATCCCATATGGGCGCTGATTCGAGTCCTGATTGCTCCACTTCCAATCCAACTCTCTGGTGTGACCTGGGAAAGCAGTCCTTGGGCTCCTGCACCTGCATTGGAGACCCAGAAGACGATCCTGGCTCCTGGCTTCGGACTGGTGCAGATCCATTTGTTGCAGACATCTGAGGAGTGAACCAGTGTAAGGAAGACCTCTCTTTCTCTCCCTGTCTCTACCTCTCTCTGTAACTCTGCCTTTCAAATAAAATAAAATAAATCTTTTTTTAAAAAAGCTTAGTTGACTTTAAAAAAAAAGATTTATTTGAAAGGCAGAGTGACAGAGAAAGAAAGGGAGGGAGGGAGGAGGAGAGAGGGAGGAGGAGAGAGGGAGAGGGATGAGGAGAGAGGGAGAAGGAGAGGGAGAGGGGGAGGAGGACGGAGGGGGGTAGGGGGAGGGAGGGGGAAGGTGGGGAGAGGGAGAGGGGGAAGGGAGGAGGAGGGGAAGAGGGGGAGGGGGAAGGGAGAGGAAGAGGGAGCACTGTCATCTGCTAGTTCACTCCCCAAATGACCACAGTAGCTGGGGCTGGGCCAGGCTGAAGCCATGAACCAGGACATCTGGATGGCAGGGTCTGAGCCATAGTAGGCTGCTTTCCCAGGTACTCATTAGCAGGAATCTGGATCAGAAGCAGAGTAGCTGGGATTCAAACGAGACACTCTGACACTGGATGTGGAAGCTTAGGCTGCTCTATCACATTTTTAAAAAAGATTTATTTATTTTAAAGGCAGAGTTTACATAGAGAGAAAGAGGGGTAGAGGGGAGGGAGAGAGGGAGGGATGGAGGGAGAAAGAGAGAGAGACAGAGAGATTGATTTTCAATTTATTATTTCACTCCCCAGGTGGCCTCAACAGCTGGAGTTGGGCTGGTCTGAGGCCAGGAGCCAGGAACCAGGAGCCAGGAGCTTCTTCTGGGTCTCCCATGTGGGCGCAGGGGCCTAAATACTTGGACCACCTTCTGCTGCTTTCCCAGGCACATTAGCAGGGAGCTGGGTTGGAAGTAGAGCAACCGGGACTCAAATTGGCACTCATACGGGATGCCAGCATTGCAGGTGGTGGCTTAACCCACTATGCCACAAAGCCAGTGCCTATATCCCCTATTTTGACTTAGGAAAACCTGTTACACCGTGACCTAACAGAAGTTTCTGTGTCTGAGTCTGTATGAAATTGAAAAGTTTCAACAATAATATTTACTTTTATTATCAGAGATGCACACTGGTATTTCTATTTTAATCTCTTCCAAATTTAAAAATAAGCAACTGCGATGCTATGAATGTCCTCCTCTAAAACTCATGTTGAATTTTATTAAATTTTATTGGGGGGGGGCCAGTAAGGGTGAAGGAGCGAGGGAGGGAGGAAGGAAGGGAGGGAGGAAGGGAGAGAGAGAAAATCCCAGCACTGATTCACTCCCCAAATAACCACAACAGCCAGTTGGGAGCTGAAGGTGAGAGCTGGAAACTCAAACCATGTCTTCCATGTGGGTGGCAGGAACCCAATTACTTGAGCCATCACTACTGCCTCCCAGAAGAAGCTAGAATTGGGACTGGAGCTGGAACTTGAACCCAGGCACTCCACTAGATCAAATATCTGTCTCTCATATTAAAATGTAATTGTTATGGTAATGATATGAGGCCTTTAAGAGAGGATTAGGGGGTGGCACAGAGGTGCTGGTTGGAATCTCAGCTGTTCCACTTCTGATCCAGCTCCTTGCTAATGACCTAGGAAAGCAGCAGAGGATGACCCAAGTGCTTGGGCCCCTGAAACCCACATAGGAGACCCTGATGAAGCCCCTGGCTTCCAGCTTCGGCCTGGCTCAGC